AATTCTGTAACAAAAATATACAGAAATACTTTTAAACTTGTGTTACTTCTTGCTTGGCTTCTGGATAACTTCTGTTGTTGAACTACTTTATTTTACAAAAAAATAAAATTAAAAAAACCCTTTCACCTCTGTAGAATTTCCCTCTCAATCTTCAACTGGATCAGCATCCTTAGGTAAAATAATTCTTTAGACCTGTACCAGAAAAGTAATTTGCTCTGGAGCTTATCAATACATTTAATTTATATTTGATTGAATAAACTAGTTAATTAAACGCTGCTATACGTTTAAAATTTATGTTATTTGTATAAAAGTAATTCTAGTTCTGATCTACCTACAAAAATATTTCACACACTGCACTTTGAACTTCTGACTTTTTAGCTAACTTGACACTGGTATTGTAGTTTGCTGGTTTAGTAAAACAAAAGAGAAACACTCACTTGCTTATTTATTAGAATTATATGTATTTACTACAGTTACAAGTATATCCTCTTACTGTAATTTCTTATAATAATGACCTTTACTCCAATGTCCATGGATATTTTAATGCTGTTTTGACCAAGAACTTGTGAGCTAATTAGAAAAAAATCTTTCTGCATCAAGCAGTCCTTCTCATTAGCTGCAACACCCCCCAAATTAAATTTCCCTGCTCATGAGCAACACTTTTAAGACCTTCAACTGTTGCTACCTTTTGTATGAATGGTTTTCAGTATTTCCTAGATAGCCTGTCTCAAGCTGAGTTTGATATATACTGGGCTAATAAGAGACAAAAAAAAAAATAAAGAAAACATGAAGTGACTTGAAAGGAATACAAAACAAATGAAAAATATTCTGAACTCTGAAAGATTTATTCAACTTTTATGTAAAATGAAAAAGGTAGGAAAAATTGCCAAAAACAGAAGGTGGCAACAACTGGTGCATTGTGACTGTACTTCCTTCAGTGCTGATTGGAAACATTTGCCACTGGAGTGGAATAAAAACCTTCATGAAAAATGAATGCTGTTTGTGTACCTCTCAGTTTATTTCCTTTTGAACTTTCAGCGCAGTCACAGGGCCCAAGAGCTCAAATAGTCGAAGGCACAGAATGCAAGTTGACAAAATTCATCTCCATTCAGCAGCCCAGTAGTTACCACAGTCTTCACCAGGTCACTTCATTCCTCCTTTTCTGCCAGCAAAAGGAAAAATAACACTACTTGTGTACCTCACAAAAGAAGAGTGGTATTACAGTGATTACTGAAAAATAGAGTTTGTTATCAGTTTTGAAAAAGTAACTGTCCACTTACCAAGTTCTATCAGGGGATAGGATTTTGACTACTAAGTCGCCAGAAAAAACATAGCAGAAAAATTCAGAATACCTTATTTTTAAGTCTTATTACATATTAGTACAGAAAATGAAGAAACTTGCTGTTATAGCACGGGTGAAATGGTTTGAGTGTGCTGTCCAAGACATTCTCAGAAGCATTTTGCTTTGGCTACCCCATTATTTCTGATTTTTCCCACCTGGCAATAGTCCTTTGTTACAAAACTTAGCAAACACGGGTACTGCCAGGCACTGGCAATAACAAATTATTATCTCTTTTTGTCCTAGCAACATCACTCAGCGTCAGAAATTAGGAGTAATCAAAGAACAAAGTGTAAGAAGCAGCATTAGAATTACTGTGAAGAATTACTTTGTCAGGAGATGGAGCACACTGAGGAAGATTCATGGAATGAAATGTTCATGGTGTTAATTCTGGCAGTCTGGGAACTGTAATGTCACCTTCTCTCCTTTGGAGAGTGGAGTGCTGCATGAACTGCTCGACTGATCAAGGAGTTTGGGCTGGAGCTGCATTTCCTGGCACAAAAGAGCAGGATGAAGAGATGAAAAAGACCTTTCAGAGGTCATTCAGTCTGGCTGATAAAGGATTATTCTTCACAATCTTTATTTAGTTCAGCTCTAAAATTCCCAATCAACTAAGTCCCTACAACCACTGTAATTTACTCTGAAAATTTTTTTCGTTTTGATATTTGATAAAAATTTGGTATTTGTATCAATGATTTTGCTCATTCATCATCATAATCATCAATGATGATATATGAAAAATACATATATTCTAAATGCATACTAATATATTTAGAAGAAAATTAAATGGTCTAATGACCTTTCAATGCATTTAAAGCAGTGACACAAGGAACAGGGCCGTTAATGCTCTTGCCTGGCAGAGATGAGATGGAAACCCGAGGCACTTTTCAGGCAAAAGGAGGAAGAGAGAGGAGAGACCGCCCCACTTTGGGACTTCTTGTCCAGTAATTTCGGAGCCGCAGCAGATGCATTTCCCTTGATAAAGAGGCACACACTGCAATCCACTGCAGTGCCCTGGCAACGGGACTGGAGATGACCAAGCTGATACCAGGTGCTGCAAGAACAGAATTTCACTCTGCTCAGCCTCATTGTGTCAGCCATGGCAACTCCTTTGCCAACTTCGGTGCAAAATCAGGGCCCTCTCAGCCACTTTTCATACGAGCCATGTCTCAAACCCAACGATTCTTCCCTAAGATAATCCAGAGAGACAGTAACAAAGCTAAAATTAGAAATCAGGAGCTGTAGCTTCCAAGGAAATGCACATTACGTGATGTTTTTTCATTACCACATGCATTTACTGTTAGCAAAAATGGCCTAGAGAGAACACTCTACAGTGAAAAATCCTCTCCTAAAACTCAGGGGTGGGTGACAACATGGTGTTTTACTCAACAGATTTAAAAAAAAAAACATTTAAAAGAAACAGTAAAGAATGATATAAACAATTAAATCTGATGATTAAATAAGGGCTATAGCATCATAGCCTATAATGGCATCACCCAAACTATGCAGCTGATTTTAAAAATTATGTATGCAGTGAAAATACTGTTCTATGAGGGCACCATAATCTGTTCAAATAATACAATTAATGCAACTAATACACATAATACAATTAATAATTCTCCAGAATAATGAAGTAAAACTTCATTTATATAACCACCTAACGTTGAAAACTGCAAGCTTAAATGGAACATTTCATTGATCACAAGTGGTGAAAATAATCTTTGCACATGAACTCTGGTATTTATTTGAAGGACTTGGCTTGCAAATAGGAATTTTAAGAACAAAGAGAGATGCTTCAGTTCAGGAATATGTGAAAAGGAAGAAAAAGGAAAAAGGAAAGGAAAAAGGAAAAGAAAAAGGAAAAAGGAAAAGGAAAAGGAAGAGAAAAAGAAAAAAGGAAAAGAAAAAGAAAAAGGAAAAGAAAAAGGAAAAGGAAAAGGAAAAGAAAAAGAAAAAGAAAAAGAAAAAGAAAAAGAAAAAGAAAAAGAAAAAGAAAAAGAAAAAGAAAAAGAAAAAGAAAAAGAAAAAAGAGAAAGAAAAAGTAAAAAGAGAAAGAAAAAGAAAAAAGAGAAAGAAAAAGAAAAAAGAGAAAGAAAAAGCAAAAACAAAAAAGAAAAGGAAAAAAAAGAAAAAAGTTTTGGCCCTCCTGAGCTCTCCACACCCAGCAAATTACAAGGAAATTTGGAAGTGCACAGTTGGGAAAATGTCACATCACAACCCACCATTTGCATACAGAAGCTTTCCCTGAGTAGTGTGGTCTCCAGACTGGCGGGGTAGCTGTGGTTTACTATACACACAGCAATCCTAGAACTGTTAAAACAGCAGGTAAAACAAATATTTTATGTCTATACTCTTGTAGTGCATTCTGCGCCCACTACCTTGGACTGCCTAGCTGTGCCAGGCAAGACGTTACCGCTGGAAAATATGTTTTAATAGACTCTTTAATTTAAAAATAATTCCAACAGCATTTGCATAGCAGAACGGCTTCAATGCTCCTCCCAAATCCTCAGACCTGCAGGCAATTACAGAAACAGCACAGCTGGGTAATGAAAGGAACGCTGGAATACATGCTGGCACCTCCTGGAAATAGCATAGGAATGGCCTAGGAAGTGCTCAGGTGACCCCCCTGCCATGTTAACTCCACACCACCTCCTCCTCAAGGAGTAACATTATATATTTATACAGTGGGGACAAGAAGGTGACTAGGCCTGCTACAGCTGAGGTCTTGGTGTTAAAACAACCTGGGAGGGCTGCATGGAGGGCTGGCTGGGCACCCGCACCGCTCACCGGGCCGCAGCCCCCAGGCTCCCTCACGGCCCTCAGGGCCTCCACACCCCGCAGGCGCCTCCGCCCCGTCCCTCCCTCATGGCTCCCAGCCCCTCATCCCTCAATTCCCGCTGCCCATCCAGCCCTTCATCCCCTCCAGCCCTGCTGCCCCTCGTCTCCGCCACCCTCACCCCACTTGTCCCCCTCAACCCTGCAGCCCCCTCAGCCTTCACCCCCTAGAGCCCCTCATTCCCTCACCCATCTCTTTTCCTTCATTCCTCTCATTCCCTTTATCCCCTCATATCCCTTTCGTTCTCGGCGTCCCGCCATTCCATCATCCCTATCATCCCCCTTGCTCCTTCATTCCCTCATCCCTCACATTCCCTCACTCCTTTATCCCCTCATGCCTTTATCCCCCTCACTCCTTCATTCCCTCATCTCTCTCATTCCCTCATCCCTCACATTGTCATTCCTTCACTCCATTCCCTCTCCTTTATCCCTCTTGCTCCTTCATTCCCTCATCCCCTCCTTCCTTCATCCCTTCATTCCTTCATCCTCCCACTCCCTCACTCCTTTATCCCCCTCACTCCTTCATTCCCTCATCACCTCATTCCTTCATCCCTCCATTCCCTCATCTCTCTCATTCCCCTATTTCCTCATTCCCCCATTCCCTCATGCCTTCATCCCATTCCCTCACTCCTTTATCCCCCTCAGTCCTTTATTCCTTCATTCCCTCATTCCTTCATTCCCTCATCCCCCTCATGCCTTCACGCCCGCATTCCCACCCCCACCGGCCCGCACGCACGCGCAGTCGGCCCCCGCCAGCCCCCGGAGCGGCGGGGCCGCGCATGCGCGGCGGGGGCGGGGCCGGCGCGCGCCGGGAGCGGCGGGAGGAGGAGGAGGAGAAGGAGGAAAAAGAGGAGGAAAAGGAAAAAGGAGGAGGAGCGCACGGTACGTGAGGGGCGGCGAGCGGGGCTGGTCCCTCCCGCTCTCCCCGGCCCTGTCCGCCCGGGGCCGGGAAGACCGTGGAAAGGAGGAAAAGGAAAAAATCTATGCGGGGCTCGCCTGGCCTCCAAGCAGCCGGCCTGGCCCGTGTCCGAGCGGGACGGGCCCGTGCGGGTGGCTCGGGGCTCCTTCACGGAGTCTGGAAAAGGGAACGCTGCCAAGGGTGCCATCAATGCCCCCCAACATCTGCAGGGGCTGCCAGAGCACGGGCCGGGCTCTGCTCGGTGCTGCCGGTGCCAGCAGCAGCAGCAGCGGCCATCAAAGAAAGGGCAGCAGGAGGGAGAACTGGTGTGCATGGAGGGACAGCAGAGCCCTGGAGCAGCTGCCCAGGGAGGGCCTGGAGTGTCCCTGTGTGGAGCCATCCCAGCCCCAGCTGGGCACCTTCCTGTGGGATGCACCAGGGCACCCTGCCTGGGCAGGGCTGGGCTGGGAGCTCCACAGGGACATTCCAGCACCAGGGATGTGGGATTCGGTGATTCCTCACAGATGGATTTTCCAGAAGCACGCAGTTTCAACCCTGTGAGGGAGCTGTGCGCTCTGTACGTTTTTCAATGAGGGCGGTTTGCATCCCTTCATCAGGGCTGGGGCACTTGGGGAATTGCAGAAACACCTGCACTGTCTGTTTCCTGCTTTTCCCCTTTCCTGGCATCCAGGAGGCACAGAGCCTTGGGTTAACTGCTGCTGAGACTAATGTGTTTCAAGTGCTAATAAATAACTTTTGTCGTGGGCAGGCAGGATGATGATGTGGCTCAGGGTCAGATACTGAAAAATAATGAGCATTGTGTGACATGCTGTGTCACTTGTACTCCTTGTTAAGGAGAGGTGTGATCTGGTTGTAATAGTTACAGGTTATTGTTGTGACAGCCACTAACGGGACAAGGTGAATGGCTTTAAAATTGGAAAAAAATAGGTTTGGAGTAAACGATGGGAAGAAATCCTTCCCTGGCAGGGTGGGCAGGCCCTGGCACAGGGTGCCCAGAGCAGCTGGGGCTGCCCCTGCATCCCTGGCAGTGCCCAAGGCCAGGCTGGACACTGGGGCTGGAAGCAGCCTGGGACAGTGAAAGGTGTCCCTGCCCATGGAACAAGATGATTTTATGGTTCTTTCCATCCAAACCATTCTGTGATTCAGTGGTTTGTGGTGCTGCCTGATGTCCATGAACACATTGAACCAACTCTGTTTGAGACACATCCTCATTGAAATGGGCAAGGGGGGGGCAAGCAAAAATGACCAAAGAGAAAAATTTCATCTTCAAAACCCTGTGAGAAAACCCTTTGAGGGACAGGGAAGGTTTTGAAGCCACATTTTTGGGCTGCACTGCACTGCTAAGGAAATACATGTTGAAAAGTGCAGCTCTGGGCTGCCCAGTAGAGGGAAGACACCACAACACTGGAACCAGTCTAGCAAAGAGCCCCAGAGATGATTAAGGGTGTTTGGTGAGGCAAGGCTGAGAGAGCTGGGAGGAATGAGCCTGGAGGAGAGAAGGGGTCACTGGGATCTTCTGAATGCCCATAAATATGTGGTGGGAGGGAATAAAGAAGATGGAGCCAGACCTTCTTCAGTCGAGGCAACACAAGAGGCAACAAGCACAAACTGATGGGTAAATGCTTCGAGTTAAATAGAAGACAAAAATATTCCCTGCTGTGGTAATTGAGCAGTGAAACAGGTTCCCCAGAGAGGCTGTGGCTTCTGCATCCTTGGAGATAACCAAAACCCAGATGGAAACAAACCTGAGCAACCTGCTGCAGTTGACACTGCTGAGACCAGGGGGAATGGACCAAAGGTCTCTTCCAGCCTCAGCTGTTCTGCTGATCCATGATTCCCTGATGGAATTGAAGAAAAGTCTTTGTCTTATTTAAAGGAATAGTTTTTTTTTTCCCTATGCCTTGTTATTTTGCTATTCAGCTGCTGTAAATTAGTGAAATTTCTTGGTGATCTGCCAGCACTGACCTTTGGTTTGCTCTGCAGGTATCCTGTGGCATGGCAGGTGAAGAAGACTTCTTTTTGGAGGAGAAGAGATTCAGGCAGTTCTGTGAAGAGTTTGTTAAGCATTCACAACAGATAGGAGATGGCTGGGAGTGGAGAACTAGCAAGGTAAAGCAATCACAGTGTTGGCTTCTAGAGACTCTTGGTGGGCTTTTTGAGCCACCACAACCTGAAACAGCCTTTAACTGCACGGGTGTGTTGAGGTGAGGGCTTGGGCCAGGGCAGGTATTGAACAGGGCTGTGGATCTCTGAGTCCTGCCCCTTTTTCAGCTCGGGGCAGAATCAGACAATGAATGTGGTGTCACTGTGAAATTCAATCCCTCCTGCTCTGGGTAACTGTGTGTGGTTTTATATCCAAGGTTCACTTTAACCCTTCAGGCTGAAATAGCACGTGGTCTTTGTTCTAGATCCTTGGCTTAGTGCTTTCATTACAATATCTGTCAGTTGCATACAGCAACCAGAAATACCTGCCAGTATTAATGATCAATTCTCATTATTTGCTGCTACTCCATAACTTTCAAACCTCTGCAATAATAACTACATATTGTTTCTAGGTCATTAATCAAAATTTTAAATAGCACAGGGCTAAGACTAATCCCAAAGGACCCCATTAGAATCACTTATTTTGTGATGATTTACCCATTTGTTAAGTTACACTTTGAGATCTGTGAATTAATAAATTTTCATCCTCTAGCATGTGTAAGATCAGTGTGGAATTGTTTTAATTATTTTAAATTTCCACCTGTGGAATCCACAGATATCTTAGGAAATTCTGAGCATGCATTGTTCCAACTTGTATGTTTATCAACCAAACATGTCTTCTGAAATTACACTGACAAATTCTGTTTTCTTTAAGAAGAATGTTTTTGCTATGCATATTTTTTCATTTACTGAGTTCTATATGACTTTTGTTGTTTTGCTCAGGATAATGTCAAACTAATATGTGTATAGGTACACAAGTTATCTAGTATATGTATTATAGTGTATAAATATATATTGATGCCTATATAAAAATTTATTGTTACAGTATATGAGGATGCATTGATACATGCTTGCTTTCTCCAGCATGTAGGTTTTCATGTTCTATTATTTGTGTATTCTATCTTTCTATTGTAGAAAATCTGCTACTCTAGGTTTTGTTTTGTTTTGTTTTGTTTTTTTAGAGTTTTTTGGCTTCAGTGTTTTCCCATGTTTTCAAGAATTTTTTTGGAGAAAAGTCATGCTTTTTCAATGTATGCCATTGTTTTTACGTGTGTAGTTGTACATTAATATTGTAACCCTTCCATCACAGACAATCAGAATTTCAGTAAGAGGGAGAAGAGGGAGGACCTTGGACTTAGATTTGTTCTATTGAGGAGTTTTTATAAGAGTGCAAATATTAGCCAAGTGTTACAATGCACCCTTTCTTACAGAAAACCATTTGAAACTTTAGATTTCAGTTCAAGGCTATATTTGTGAGGATTTATTCAACAAAGAAAGATGCTCTGAGCCTCTACTGGGAATTTAATACGTGGGTCAAAGTCTGAACTTTCTGTGAAATAAGAAGCTTTGCTGGAAATAGCAGAATGAGATAGATTTTTGTTCTCATATAAAAAAATTCTAAGAGGGTTGTTTTCTTTTTTTAATGGGCCAAGTTGGTGACTCTGTGATTTCAGTGTGTGATAAAAACCTGGCCATGGAGACCATCCATTTACAGTGTGGAGTCCGAGAAGAAAGCTTTTCCTCAACAAGATGTCTCATTGTCTTTTTTGCCCTTTTTTTTTTTTATACCAGTATATGTGTTGTAGGAAGTTTGGAGCACTCTTAATTTTGCTGATGTAAGGCACTTGGATCCCATTCCTCATTCCCGACTCACGTGAATAGACCCATTGATAGCAGTGAGACCACACAAGTGAGCCAGGCTGGTAGAGCTGTGTTCCTGTGTTTTCTGTGGAGATTAAATTTAGATGATGAAATACTCATTGTTCTCGTGGAGCTGGCTCTTGGTGCAAGAGCTCACATGGCCCAGGCAGAACCCTGTATTTATAGCTGTAAGTGAAATGTTCCAAATGATGTTATTTTTATAATGTGTTTTCTTGGTTTGGAGTTTTTTTTCCACTGGAAGAAAGCTGTAAAAAAAGCCAAGAGCACCTCTCCTGCAGGAGCTGGTGGAGCTGAGCTTGGGTGCTGCTGTTAAGATGAATGGTTAAATCTTGCTGTGGAGGTCGAGATTTAGCTGAGGAAAACAAGGCCCTGTTTGCTCTCTGCTTTGTGCTTGTTTCATATTTGGTGAGGTTAATCCAGGTAATCATACCAAAAGCTGCATTAGTTCCCTTTGGCTTTTGGTACAGCTGCAGGAGGAAGGGACTGCCTTAGCACATTCGTGGGATCAGGGTTCTGGCTACAGTCGTAATTTATAGGGGTATAGAAGAGTGCAGAACACCACGTGCAGCAGGAGGGATGCTGCCACAGACTGCTGGCTCCATCCATCCATCCATCCATCCATCCATCCATCCATCCATCTATCCATCCATCCATCTATCCATCCATCCATCATCCATCCATCCATCCATCCATCATCCATCCATCATCCATCCATTCATCCATCCATCATCCATCCATCCATCCATCCATCATCCATCCATCATCCATCCATCATCCATCCATCCATCCATCATCCATCCATCCATCCATCCATCTATCCATCCATCCATCCATGCATCCATCCATCCATCCATCCATCATCCATCCATCCATCCATCATCCATCATCCATCCATCCATCCATTCATCCATCCATCATCCATCATCCATCCATCCATCCATCCATCCATCCATCATCCATCCATCCATCCATCCATCCATCCATCCATCATCCATCCATCATCTATCCATCCATCCATCCATCCATCCATCCATCATCCATCCATCCATCCATCCATCCATCCATCATCCATCCATCCACCCATCATCCATCCATCATCCATCCATGCATCCATCCATCCATCATCCATCCATCATCCATCCATCCATCCATCCATCCATCATCCATCCATCCAGCCATCCATCCATCCATCCATCCATCCATCATCCATCCACCCATCATCCATCCACCCATCCATCCATCCATCCATCCATCATCCATCTATCCATCCATGCATCCATCCATCCATCCATCCATCATCCATCCATCCATCCATCATCCATCATCCATCCATCCATCCATTCATCCATCCATCATCCATCCATCATCTATCCATCCATCCATCCATCCATCCATCATCCATCCATCCATCCATCCATCCATCATCCATCCATCCATCCATCCATCCATCCATCATCCATCCATCCACCCATCATCCATCCATCATCCATCCATGCATCCATCCATCCATCATCCATCCATCATCCATCCATCCATCCATCATCCATCCATCATCCATCCATCATCCATCCATCCATCCATCCATCCATCCATCCATCCATCCATCCATCATCCATCCATCCAGCCATCCATCCATCCATCCATCCATCCATCCATCATCCATCCACCCATCATCCATCCACCCATCCATCCATCCATCCATCATCCATCCATCCATCCATCCATCCATCCATCCATCCATCCATCCTCCAGTTTTCTCGTGGCACTCACAGAGTGCGAGGGCTGTGAAGTTTGCCTGCACTCTGCTGGGGGGAGAAGCGGTTCAGGGAGGAGGAGGAGGCTCAGTGCAGCCCTGCTCTGGCACAGCTCACTGTGCCATGGGGCATTTCCCCTCTGCTGCTCTTGGTGGGACAAATCCCTGTGCAGGGATCTTTCCTCCTGCTGGCGCTGCTGGGAAGCTCCACGAGCAGACACTTGAGAGGAACGAGGAGATGCTTGAGAGGGAGTTGAGAGTGGGAGGAATGGATTTTCCATCACCAGTTTAGGTTTAGCTTTTCTTTCACCATTCTCTGCACACTGGGTTCCTCCCTGCACAGGCTGCACTTGGCTCTGCAGCCAGGGCTCGCAGGAAGGTTTGGTGGGTTTGTGCTCTTAATGAGATTTGTTGAGAAAATAAGGCGTAAAGTAGAAGAAGTGAGCAATGTAATTGGCTATACTGTTATTCATGCTTAAAAATCAATGGGAAAAGTACACGTAGAGTGCATTACCCTTTTTTTAATGTGTGAAACTTGATCAGAACAAAGTAAACAAGTAGCTCATAATAGGTTTTGGAGGTATGTTTAATGTACAATGTCTTTGGAAAGAGAGAACTAGTGTGTCAGTATAAAACCTGTGGTGGTTTAAAGGTAAAAATAAATGGCATAAACTGTGTCAGCAATGACAAATTAACCAAAGAGTTAAATCATAGTTAAATTTGCAGTCTTGTCTAAAAATTTAGTGCTATGTTAATGAATTTTGTAGTGAGACTGTTTTGAATAGAATCCTTTTTCATCAGATGTTGTGCATATGCTGTTTGTCTAAAATAAAATGTAATGAAACAGCTAATAAACTCCCAATTTATTTGTTTCCTTTGAGGAGTAAATCCTCAACGTGCAACTACTGTTCTTTGTGTTCTGTACTTGCTTTCTTCCTTTCAGTGTACCTATTATTAAGCATTTTCTCTCCTCTTGTCCCTAATTAGGAAAAATAAAATGTGCAGGTAGGCAGGCCAGTAATGCAGGAAAACTCCGAAACCTTTCTTCTGCCACTCTGGGATTGTTCAAGGGCACATAACAATTGTGGGCTGTGTGGCCTGGGAAGCACAATGATGAAATGGGAACTGGGAGAAGGCACAGCTTCGTCTGTTTTCTCTTACATTTCACCTCAGAGGTGATTAAGATAGGAAACAAGTTGTGACTCTGCATACATAAATTCTGAAGTGGTTTTGTTTTGTTTTGTTTTCAGAACTTTGTAAAGTTAGAGGGGGAAACAGAGCAAAACCAAACCAGCCTCGCAAGAGTTGGGACGTTAATCCTGGCATGAATGCATTGAAATAGGTCAAAATCGTTTATAGCTCCTCATCTCTTCATCGCCTTGGTGCACTGCCTTCCCGTTCCTTGGCACTTATCCTGATCCACAGGGTGCAGTTGTCTTATTCCCTTAATAGCTGTATTAAACTTTGTTTTTGCTGTTGAGGTCTTTGACTTCCTTCAACACCAAGAGCTGGTGTAAACCATCCGTGAGAAGGTGCTGAGGAGCACTGCAGTCATCAGTGCCTATAAAAAGACTTGGAGCCTGTGCCTAAATACCATGCTCTGTTTATTTTCTGGAACAGTGAAGGCATTTACCATTTTGGTTACAGAAAATGTCTTTTTTTTTCTTTCTCTTTTTCTGAATGCAGGACCTTGGTGATGGTTATCTTAGTAAGACACATTTCCAAGTAAGAAACAGACACATCCCACCAGACCTCAAGGAGAAAAACAATGATAACGCTGAACAAATATTATTTGCACATGTAGAAGTAAGTACACATTTTTGAATTTATGTGTTTATAAAATAAGTAATAAAAATAAAATCCACTATGCTAGTAAGTCGTTCCAGCAAGACTTCAGATCTGAAGTTACCAGTGGCTTTTAATTAGTTGTCATACAGTTATAGAAAAACTAATTAATACACCTCATTGAGTATTGGTGATGAAAATTGGGAAGAAATGAAAAAGATTCCAGCATCCTTTGTGTAGGTGTTCTCCTCATAGGATAATATTTCTTGGCATTTTTATTCAATAACATTAAAGAAACTTTTTTTTTTGTGTGTGTGTGTGTTTGGAAAAAGGTTAATCATCAACATTTATTTATCTTAGAGGTAAATGATAGTTAAAAGAATAAAGGGTACTTTGAGGTTAATACTCACTTGAAGTGATGTTTATTGAATAAGACTTTTATACTCAATGGCTACTTTTCTACTGTGGAACTGTAGAAAAGTAGCCATTGAGTATAAAAAGTAGCCTCAGACTTAAAGACTGAGCAATTTTTTGAAACTGGTGGGTGGTAATGAGGTGTTCCTGAAGGAGAATAAATGTCTTTCTTCCAGAAAATGAAAACTCTGGTTGGACTGATGTGAATAATTATTTGCTTGCTTGAGTTTTCATTAGAGCTCCAGATTATTGACTAATCAGGATATAAATGACAGGGATTCCCTCCCTTGTTGTGTTGTTACCATAAAAAAGAAAATAAATCTTGGATTATAATAGACTGAAAGCAATGTATTGTGTATGCTATAAGCTGTTGAATAGGTGGATGTGGTAAACTTTGCAGTTACCTTTTTCTGCAATTCCTTTCCTTTTTTCATCAGCACTCTGATTGCATTTTTTTTCCCCACTGAGACTCTGGTACATTTAAGACTTTTCTGGTTTGAAATGAGTATTCTTTTGGCCTGGTTTCTGAAGAAAATGGCACTTAAAACAATTGTGCTATTAGACTGTGATACAGTCATTTCTACTGATTTTTGAGCTCACTCACAGATTTCAGCTGCATTTTAAAGAGGGATAGATATCCAAGTCATTTAACGAATAGCTGAGGCATTTTTCAAGCTTTTCTTTAAATTGTATTCTCGTATTTTGTAGAAAGAAGGTGGGTATCAGTGCTTCAGGGGTTGTTATTTAATTGTCATTAACAACAGTGTTTGTGTACTTCAGCCCTGACTTGTAACAACAGATTACTGTTTATATTGAAAATTGCTTTTGATTATTGTGACCTTTTTTTTTTCCCTTAAATAATGAAGCAAGTCTTCGTTATAGAGTGCATTGTAAAAGAACACCTGTAAAAAGCTATTGAGTCCTTTTCTGGTGTCAGTTACAGAAAATATCATAAAACAAAAGAGACTTCAGAGTCTCTAACACACTGAAATGTTAAATACACCGAAATATTATAATAAATAATATACTGAAATACGATTCCAGGCCAAGTTTTGTGATTTATCAAGACACTGAAGTGAGCAGTCCTTGAGATATTTGGAAAGATTTCTTTGTTTTGAGCCACAGTAATGTGCAGGTGGACCCTCTTGGAGAAGGAGCCTTTTTACCTGTCGTGTAAAGATGAAGAGTGAAACAAGAGGAAGGTCTCAGAAAATTATGGAGGTTATAAGACCATAAGAAAAATAATTTACTTTCTTCTCCAAAATATTCAATGCCTAATAGATATGATGTAAAATTTACATTCTACATTGAGCTGAAGGGTTACCAGACTGTTAAGGTTATTTAATCTATCAAATAGGAAAATGAAATTTGCTTTGGATATGTACAGTAAAGCTGTGTGTTTAACACTAAGAAATATGAAAATGGTGACTGTAGAGAGGTTACATTTTCTTAGGCACAGTAGTTCCCGTGTAAGATGCATGTTCTTTTTCACAGATATTGAGTGCTAGAGACCAATTCCACTCTTAATAACAATCTGTTATTTAAATAGGTGTTAGGTTTTGGTTTTTTTTTTTTTTTTTTTTTAGTTTTAATATATGTTGTACCCATAAATCACATGGTGTAATGGAATTACTGCAATCTGTTTGAGTAAGTTACTGAAATACATTCTGATGAAAAGCAAAAGTTGTGATCTTGGTGGAGAATGGAAAGGTTTCTTCTGCCTCTATGCATTCAATATTTACTCTTTTTTTTAATTAAAAATTTTAATTTTTATATATTTGGAGCTTTAAAAAGCTCTAAATAGGAAATAAAATTTATTTCGTAAATAAAACCAGCCATTCACTGATAGTTGATATTTCATAATTTTCAGTTCCAGAGTTACTGTTATGATTTCTCTATATTGTGTCTCTGTTATTTGTATCTTATTGGAATATTTCCATCTGACTAATCTGATCTCCTCCAAGGTGTGGTAGATACGATGCATGGGCATATAATAATATAATTAACCAGGAACAGTAAGAAAGGAAAAATAAGGAAATTAAGCTCTGAGTAATCAACCTTCATTGTTAGGAACCATCAGTGTTGACACAAATAAAGAATGTGCTGTGGAATATGCAAGGGCATAAGAGGCCAGAAGATTTTCCTCCCCTCATCCTGGAAATCCAGTTCAAAGGCTAGAAATAGAACATCTGTTTTGGCAGACAAGGTGAAATTTTGGAGGAAAATCAGAAGAGCGGTTTTTGAAGTGAAGTTATGGGAAAGTTATTCATAGCGAGGATTTAACTCCTGTGTAAGGGATTGAACCCAAGACACATCAGGGAGGAGGTGATGTAGAATAAATCATAAATATATCCTGTTGTAGTGGGGTACATTTAGATGTTAAAACTGCAGGGGGGCAAAATTATCGTTGTTCTACTCATTTTTAGTCTGTGAAGAGACACACAAACCTAATGATATGATAAAGAAAATACACAAATAGCCTGAAGTAACTTCATTCAAATAGAAAATCAATTATCAGTTATCGCAGTTTCAAAAATGTGCTAATCTTATGGGATCTACTGGAAACCTGACCATTTTACTTGGAGTTTGTGTCACTTCATTGATTAGCATGGAGGGTTAATGTTTCCAGCCTTCCATCTCATTGATTGGTGTCTAAATATCAGGAGCCTTCCTGGTGAAGGAGTGATGAATAACTTTGTATTCTGGTCTTTTCCACAGAGCAGTCTGTATTATGTGCTGGTTCCTTTTATACAAGTTGTGTTTTCATCTGAAAACCAAGAATAAAATTCTATGTGGGTTTCTTTCTGCTTATTTTAGATATCTGCAATATAGAGCTTGTCACTTAAATCTTTCTTTCAGCCTGAGGAGGTAAAAAAGCATTTTTGGGTATAAATCAGTTGACCTATTTTAGGTGTCTCCTCTAAGAGAGGATGAGTCTAAAAGTGAGTGTTTTTCCTCAGGGGTGATCAAGGTTAAGCTACATGGCTGTAGATGCCTGCATGTTGTCATGTGAGCCCCCTACAACAAAAGGTGGCTCTGGGCTCCTCACAGCACTGGCAATTTGTGCTGGTGACTTCACTGGAGCTGAGATTTCACTCTCATGGTGGAGCTCATACTTAGCTGAGGGTTGTGTTTTGTGAAGTAGCAACTTAAAGACAGTTTAAGGAAGTTTGTCTTTTTGTACTTGGCAGTGTCTCAGTTGTCAAGCTGTTTATCTTAATGAGGTGCCTGGGGATCCTGTGTTAGGCAGACCCTATTTTTCCATTTTTCCTTCCTCCTGGAGAAGGATTCACACTGCTCTTCTGGAATGCCATCCTCTGTTTTTTGTGGTTTTAGTTTAATCGAGATGTTTATTTCAACATTCTGATTGGTAAACAGAAACTACTAATGGCATTGTGACTGATAATAAACTTCAGGCCAAGTTGGTGAAGGATGCTCTTCAGACCAGTGAGATGAGATTCAGTCCCTTGGATATGAGCTGAAGAGTCATAAACCTTTTAGAGTCTCTTCCGAAAGAATAAAAATAGCCTGAGATGCAAAGTAGGGGACAGATAGGAACACATGGGCGCCATTTGAAAATTTTTAAGTTGCCATTTTGTTCTGGTTAAATTTTTATTGAATCAGTCATTGCCTTTCTGAGCTGTTCTGACTTTATGCCAGCTGAGTGTCATCTGTACTTTTCCACAGACAGCATAAATCTTGTGTAACCACCATAAAGCGTTCTGGCTAATTCAACAACAATCTTCAGTATGTATTCTTTCTTGATCCAAATCAAATCTGTCCTCCCAGGACATCTGTCAGGGTCTTTATCAGTGAACATGGGACTGTGTCTTCTTTTCTAGCAAGGACAGAACAGGGACATGCATTATTGCATGAATTGTTGATAAGGTGAAAAATACTGTACAAGATTCAAAGTGAAGGTAGTTCTCCTGCCTCAAAGAGCTTATACTCTAAACGAGTAAAATGGGAAAATCTGGATTCACTTTATGCATTCCCTTTGTTTGTTATTCAAATAGCCCAAGGGAAGCAATAACTTGGAGTAATAATTCTCAGTGTGTGGTTTGTCTCAGCTCCTCTGGGTATTGCAGAAGAAGTGAGTCAGCATGGAACCATTCCTGGAGCTGGAGCCACTGCCACTTTATAAAGGAGCGGGCAGGTTGGGAGTGCTGAAGGTCTGTTCATACCTGATACTGCCTTTGGAAAATGAGCACTGAGCCCCAGCAAAAACTGATGAAGTTGTGCATTTGCTGCATTGTGGGCTCCACCTTTACTGGCAGCGGTTCTTGAGTGTTGGTGAGGTTCTGCCTGATGGGGGATGTGGAAATGAGTCTGACATCTTTCTTAAAAGTCCCGATTCCATGATTTGCTGTTCAGCTGTGCTTTTAAGATTGTAGAAAATAGAAAACTACAATTTTTAGCAATTATTGATAATTTTTTTCTCTAAACAAATCCAGTATTTTTACAATTAGGAACAGGTCCTTTTTGTTTTTTCTGTGCAAAAATAAATAAGATGAACACAGTGTAAACATTTGCATAACCACAGTATTTGTTGGATGGTTAAGTGAAAACCCAGCAAACAGTGCTTAAGGAGAAAAATGTAAATACAT